ATTTATATCGATGACAAAAAAACAATATTCTTGAATAATTTTGGTTTTCTTGCAAAGTATGTAATTACAAATTGTTCAAAATAACTTAACAAAGACCCTGAACACTGTTCGACATGCATAAGAGGGATGTTTTGCATGCCATGCATGATGCATATATGGTGTTGATACCACTGGTCAACAATTTACTTGAACCACAAAGCTTAAGAAGTATATGCCTAGTCGATGGTTTTTTGGGTAGTAATTCATCACATAGTGGATCTTGTTAGGTTTAGAAAATGGATATGTAGGTAGTCAGCTCTTAGGTGCTCATAATTAACATCAGTACATTTCTTTACTAAACTCAGAACTTCAAGCACTCATTTAGATAATGCAGTGTATGCTCATGTACAATGGGGGATTTAACCAAATCCTTAGCACATATTTTTAGGCAAATCAGATTAGATAATAATATTTAATTTGCATAAACTAAGGAAGAATTCTTAACTAAGACATTTAAGGACTTGATCCTTAACAACGTAGCAGTCCGATTGTTGAAATTTGTAACCCTATAAAAAAAAATTAAACCAGTAAGACCTAAAGTCTAACCTTTAAACCCCATAATTCTAAATCTTGAGTTTAGATTAGTTAATACAAAGACTATAAATATGTTATTACACTCTTTAATAAAGTCTATTTTGATCATTTTTTTTCTTATAGATTATATTTGTGACAAAAACTTTTTTTAGGCTTTTTAAGTCATTTTCTCATAAAAAAAATAATTTCACATATTTTAAAATTTAATATTTTTTTCCTAAAAACTCCATAATAGATAGCACCATTAGAGGAATATTTGTGATTAGAGACCTTAACTATTGAAAAAAATAATTATTATATTGCTAAAAATTCCAATGGTGGATAATATCATTGGAGGTGCTCTAAACACTAACATTGTAAAATTTTGGAACATGTAGTCAAGAAAAGACCATAATGATACGTCAATAGGTGTTTGTCACATATTTTCGATGGAGATATCTTTGTTCCTCGTCGAATAATAAAATTGCAGATTCGTTAATTAATATTATTAGTTTTTTTTCAAAAAGTTGTTTTAATAGACTGTTTTAGTTAATTAATATTATTAGTTTTTTTTTCAAAAAGTTGTTTTAATAGACTGTTTTATTCCAGTTTGATTTCATATACCATTTCAAGTCTGGGTAATATATAAAACTGTCTCAGTAATAGAATGGAGTTTTCGTCTGAAAGTATATTATTTTTTTCAAGTTAATTGAGGAATGAATCCTTACATCTACTTAATCGGTACCAATACGAGTGGAACCCTGGTGGGAAATGCAACTGCGCACTAACCACTGTAGACAGGCTTGAATTGGTAGTCCCGTACATTTCTTTGTCGAAAGACTCGAAACCATTTGTTTTTTTTTCTTTTCTTTTTGCTAAAATTTGGTGAAAAAAAAACGAATAATCTTAATTAACGAATCTGCAATTTTATTATTCGACTAGGAACATTTTTTGTTTCTTTCTTCAACAGGAATTAAACAAGCAAGGGGTTAAGAACGCATAGCTTTTAGAAAATTCGCCACAAACGTTTGATAGATAAACACTGGAATATATTGATACAAGAACATATCAAAGCATAACATATCAAACCTGTCGAAGACAACAAGAACATATCAAAGCATGATCTTGCAAAGAAATGAAACTCCACAAGATCCCATTTATTGAATTGAAAAGCATATTAATAAGAACAGTATTTCGTAATGGAGATGATAGTGATCATGGTGATGGTGATGGTGATGATTAAGCTTTGGTAACGTGGTCGTCCATGTCAGCAACCATGTTCTTGCAGAACTTCATGTAGTTGATTGGTTCAGGGAGCTCATCGTTACGCTTCTCCCATATCATAGTAATTTTGCAGACGCAGCCATCTTCCGACTTGGGAATGAATTCCAAGATGACGTCGTACACCTTGAGCTGTTCCATCACGTGACCTTCAAGTCCTCTGAATGTCACCGTTTTCTTCTCATCGTCTATCTCTCTTCTTTCCTTGAATACCTCAGGCTTCCCATCTTTTTACATAAACACATGTGTTCTTTAAATTTCGATCGGTCATATTCATTCATATTACCATATATATATATATATGAGTATAAGGGTAAACTGATGCAATATAAAGGCAAAATTCGATTAATAGTTCTATCAAAACAAAAATAAACTTTTGATTAGTCATGACTCATACTCATACAAAATTACTGATATTAAGTATAAATATGTTGTTGGGGTACGAATATTCAATCAAACTTAAGAGTCTTAGACTATAAGAGAGATCAAATTAAGTTCACGCTGATACGCTACTTACTGCACCAGTCAATCCTGATTGGTTGAATTCATGTCAAGACTCATGACTGAGGTACATATAGAATGTTTGCTTACATTTCGTTTTTGTGTTCAATCTGTGTTTTTCCGAATGAATGCGTGACATCTGGAATCTTAAGAAGCTAATTTTTATTAATAGTAACACAAACACTACAGGCAAAAGCATGTTTGCATTTGCCTGTACACATAAATATATAAACTTTCCTAATTATGTCTTGATTTTTAGGAGAGTTCTTAGAGTTATTGATAACACAAACGCAAAAAGTAGGGTATTCATATGTATTCTCGAGCTACTTGTGACATATTGAAAACAACTACATATATATGTTTTGTAACCATAGATAATAATCATAAGGGCTATAGTTTATTTAACTCGATAGTGTGTATAAAGTGGTAGAATATATATATATATATATAGACAGAATTAAAAAAGTAAAAGTACCGCATGTGTAGTTCCAAGTCTTGATGGCCCCATGAGAGTCCCATTCGCCGTCGTGAATGGTGACATTTTGGATGTGGTGGCCGATGGCTTCCGGGAAGGCATGGTTCTCGCTCCTCCACCTCTGGTAGTGTTTATCCACCGTCCCTTTCAACGGAACCTCCGTCACGTATGTTCCTGACGTCGCCATTTCTCACTGTCGTTTTAAAGCCTGGACTCTTTTTTTTATTTGTTTGTTTAGGTTGATGAAAAAACACTTGTCGTCGCATTGGTTTATATAGTGAATGTCACGGTAAAAACCAAGTTACCGTTTCGTTCGTCAGTCATTTGATGGTAAAGTTATAAATATTATTTTTAGGGGTAATCATATTCTCGATCGCTTTTAAATGTGGGTAGTTGGCACAGCATCACCTGGAAGATAAACTTTTGCCCATCTACACATTTATTTTGTCTATTTCTTCTCTCTTTTTCAACCTGCTAGTTAATGAGCATTATCGCCATTGGGTCACAAAAGTTAATGATCTATTGATGTGAATTAATTCTACGCTTCACCGGCCGTAAATAATCATTTAAATTTATTACACCGAGTGGTAATTATTTCACCTACGTGCGGACTACAGTGAAACTCCACTTCCAAGCAATCTTGTACACCGAAAAATTAGGCTTTACGGAGCACAAAACATTCTGGTGTTGTTATTCGTGACGTTTGACAACTGGTATCGTAATCACTCTCTCTCTTGAATCAAATACTCAAGAAGGTAACGTAATTCTAATGGAATTGGCTCGCACCTTTCAGAGAGTGCGTTTCACAGCATCTCCATAATGTTGGTATTTGACTGCCGTTCATAACTGCTCCTTCATACAGTCACACTACTCTTGTCTCATCATCAGAACAACAATGTGTAGAGCTTTTTCTTACTCCTGTTTGTAACTAGACTTTACGTCAAACCGTCATCTATACATAATTTTGTTTTGTAATATATTTAACCGTCCAAAATTGCCTAAAATCGCATAACTGAAAGAAATAATAGAAAGTGTATCATCTTCAACAGCTAATATAGAAGTGTTTATCAGAAAAAAGAAGAAGCTAATATAGAAAAGTGCTTTGGTTAAGTGCAGGCTTATATTAAAAAATCAACTAGTTTTATTTATTTTAATCATTTTTTATTTTCAATCACTATTTAGTTGCATAATAGTTTACGTTGATTTCACCCTATTACAACCCAGAATCAAGTACTAATAGTGTGTTTTTGTAAATTATTTTGTACTTAAGTACGAAATAATGCATAACAAAGTTAGTTTATTGTTGCAATTATATATAGCCGATTTTCTATATATATATATATAGCCGATCTCTGTGTTCAGTTTTATAAAATTAAAAAAGGATCGTGGTTAAAAAAAAAAAAAATTAAAAAAGGATCGAATTTGATCACGAAAAAAAGAAGAAAAATTTGATCTCATTCCTGGCTTGGTGATGATGATGCATTAATAGTTCGGTTGTAACTTTGAGGTCGACTCCATTTTGATCTGGAAAATAGAAAGGCGGAATTTGGGGTAACCTAAAATTATGGTCATATCGAAATTATGATATGTGTCTATCTGTAATAAATGTATGTTTCACGAAAATAAATATTGCAATTAAATCAGGATGGTCTAGTGCTTGAAATATTTGCTATAAAATTACTTAGTTACTATAGTTCGAATCTTTTCAGAATGACTTTGATCATCATTATTATTATTGATGATTAAAATGACCAAAATACAAGTTTTCACTAACGCCAACGATTTGTATGAATTTGGTATGGATTAAAAAATAATATATGATATAATTTGGTATTTGTTTTACATATTTTAGTTAAATAGTTAATATTAACTCACTGAAAAGTTATCTCGTTGTACATCACCTCATATATAGATGGTGATCCGAATAAGAAAAAAAAAACAGGAATTAGTTTAACATTTTCAGTTTCAACTATGATATAAAATCTATTTATTAATGAATGTTTGGGAAATCACTGATGTGGAATCTATTAATGGAAATTTTGTTAAGATAAGAAGAGTTTCAGGAGGGTTTTATGTTAAAAGAAAAAAAAAACTAAATTGTCCTAATTTCTAGAAAATTTGGGTAGATGTGACAAGCATAATGCAATTATGATGGCGAATATAAAAGGATTTAATTTAAGTAGATTTAGCAAAAATTACTCATTTTTTTAATATATGATGTTTTAGGGAAATTATTGTGTTTCCAATTATATAAAATTTTCAGTTTTCTTTGTAAAACTTACTAACATTTAATATTATATGATCAATGATATTATATCTTCTAATTTATTATTATTAGTTGAATTTAGTTAGTTAAATAATTAATAATGTTTTATTAGAGATATAAAAGATTAAATATTAATTAATCTATGTATATAATATTAAAATGACTTATAATAAAAATTGAGGGAGTAAAAGTAGTTATAAGTGGCAGCTTGTGAACAGACCTTCCATATACTTTATCTTTCACGTTTAATCAATATTATAGAATAAAATTTTGTTTTAAAATACGTGATGTTATAAAATGTCAATACAGATTTTCTTTTTACTTTTTATGATGTATGATTTTTTTATATTTTTCAGTTTATTTTTCTATTGGTTAAAATATGATTAAGCATATATATAATGATGTTTCTATTTAGAAAATATACAAAATTAATTAGTTTCTTAATCTATATGTATGAATCTAAAACGATAATTTAAATGAAATGGAGGCAAAAATATATAAAGAACCCCAAATCTTTTTCTCTCTCACAATTTAGAGTTAGAGAGAGTAAGTTGAGAAATTAGAAAGAAAGAGTAGGAAGAGACACTGACACTGCTGGTTAAAGGGCCGGATTGGTGGACCGGATATGGATGAAGAATATACGGTTTTTATAGTGCCTAGCTATCTGATCATCATGGACCAGGATAGATGGCTATCCAGTCATCATACGGGTTATGCGTTAGTTGTTGTTTATTGAGAATTAGCTAGTACACAAGACTATATAAACTGGTCGTATTAATTGACTGGGTGATCAATAATTTCATATGTTAGCATGTATAGTGGAATGACCATTATCACTGGCTGATTTGTGATTCGTGTTTTTATGATGCATGTGAAGAGTATTGTATAGTTAGCACAAATACAATAAGACAGAATCAAATCTAGGGGTAGGACTGATCCGGATATCCGAAAATTTTGAAGTATCCAAATCTGAATTCGGATTCTTTGGATCCACGATTTTAATATCCGGATTCAAATTCGTGTCTTCTGGATATCTGGGCTCCGGATATCCGTCTAGATATTGTAATATCTATGGGTATCCCGATTCGGATTCGGATCCGTAAAAATAATTAAAAAATTAAAAAAATCTGAAAATAAGACATAAACTAAACATTTAAGCATAATTTATGAATATATATGACATATAATATTATTAATATAAAATTATAATATTATTAGACTTATTTTATGTATAAATATTAATATATCAAATATAGTTAATAATAAAATAACAAATTTAATATATTTTAAAAAATACGGATCCGAATCCGGATATCCGGATTCGATTTGCACGGATCGAGATCTTACTATCCGGATTTGGATTTGGGCACCCTCGGATATCCTAATTTCGGAGCGGATCTCGGATAACCCGTTTAATTCTTTTAAAATTTTAAAATTCATATATACTTTAAATTTCTCTAAATCTAAAAATAAAATAAAATATAGCTTAGAAATTTGAGTATATATGTCAAAATATCTAAAATTAACATAAAAATCAGTTTGACTTGAATATTTGGATAGTGAATCGATTGATATTTTATGTACTTTTGATGTTTTAAGTATTGTTTAGCTACTTTTTATATTATCTTAGTAATGATTTTCAGGTTTGATTTTTTTGTTCAGCCCTATTGTTGGTTCAAATAAGTAATTTACAAAGAAAATGGGAGTTAAAACAAATGAATTTTTATTTTCTTAATTTACTTTATTGTATGTTGATATGTAGTTTAATCTTTATAAAATGCATACATTAATAAATACTAGGTTCATAGCCTTCGCGCAAACGCGGGGCCGGGACAGTGATGATGAATTGTGATGTTTTATGGATGGGATTTTGTAGTTTGTTTCGGGACTTTTTTTTTTGTTTGGGCTTTAACCAAAAACCCGATTAAATTGAGTTGATATACGAATGAGTGGGAATTCATGTGCTTTGAAATATTCATATATTATATTAGTAATGATTTTATCGAGTATTATGGTATTAGTGCTTTCATGTCCAAGATAAGTGGTATATTGGGTTGTTATTATCTAATTTGTAGGTTAGTAGCATATTACTGTTAAATAGTGAATTGGCATTTAAAAAAAAAAATATTAGTATTTTTTAAAAATTATACAAAGAAATATAGTTTAGTGGATTGAAGAGAGAAAGGGGAAATGTGGTTGTTCAGGAGTTGTGGGGAATGTTGAGGGATTAATATTTATTAGTGAATAAAAAGCTTTTATTTTTTATTTGCAGATAAGAGTGTTTAATGAACTCATACGTGTTCGTATTTCTACTTTTTTTGTATGATTTAATCGGATCTTAATGTTATTAGCGATTTAATGACCATATGTAGCCGAACATAGGTGTTTGTTAATATACAAATCTAATATGGGAACAAAGAAGAAAAAACTTTGTTATCCGAAAAAAATATAGTTTGTTTTCTTTATGTACCATGACATTTTTTTGAAAATATATAATTGTAGATTAATAATGCTAAAATTTCATATCATTATATATGTTGACTAAAATAGTTATTTTTTGTATTTGTTAAAAATATTTTGTGGTAATTTAAAAAATAGGAAGGTGGATTAAAAAATTTAAAGTGGTATAGGTCTATATTCAAACGTAATGAAAACGTAGTAGCTGGGTATTTAAATGATTAGGCTTGAAATTCGATGGGTCTTGAGTCTCAATTTAGGTCTGAAAATGGAATAACCTTTTATTCTCCCTTTTTGTTTCTCCTCATTGTCTTCAGCAGTGTGACAAGCTCTTGCAATTCTTGGCTTTATTACGTTTTTAGTGTGTCAGTTTGTGAAATTATAGTTGTTCAATAGCGGCATGGAAAAAAAAATTTCTTACTTTAGCTAAGGCTGTCTCCGCCGCATTGCTTACACAATGAATCTATGTTCATTGGGCGTTCTCGGAACATGCAATAAAAATGTTTGAATTTTTTGTATGACTTTGTTTCTATTGTTATTAGTTTCGGTTACTAAAACCCATAATAAATGATTTGAGGTTCTATACGTTAACTTAGTTAGTATGGCTTATGTCTACCTTAACATGACAGAAAGAATAGAAGTTTGCATGGCAGACGCCGGTGACGCTGGTTTTAGGAATTGAAGAAACATAGAGAGACATTTTCTAGTAGATGGTTAAAGCTAAAAGCAATCGATGAGTTTTGTGGAGATGCAGATTGGATTCATCATAGATGAGAATCATATATATAGAGTTTAAAGAGGGGCTACAAATCATGAACATTTATGATAAAACGATGTAAGATGGGGAGATGAATAGTTCACCGGTAAAAAAAAATTACGAACAGACACGACGCAGCTCTGTAACTCAAACCTGCCCGAGACGGTGATGAAAGGAAACTTAACTCATCTTAAACGACGACGGTTTATATGGAAAAACAATAATTGTTGTAAACTTGAGAGTTGTCTTCATATAACGTGATGAAACCTAGTTAAAAATGAAACTCATAATACATTTACAGGTCTGACCCTCAAAGGAAGCCAAAGAAGCAAGGGCTTCCGGCTTTCATAAATATATATTAGTTTCGGCCATTAATATACAAATTATCCTTTAGTTTAGCGGTATAAATGTTATTGTTTGTATCTTAATAACCCGGGTTCAAACCATAGATTTGATATTTTCACATTTTATATAAGTGGAACCCACTTAATGTTGAGGTTGCGGAGTTTTGAATCATGGACTTGATACTTTTTACATTTTTTAAAAGTGAAATCCCTTTGATGTTTAGATGGCACGCTGAGGAGTTTTGAAACTCAACCGATATAATATATATTTATAAAATGATTAGTGTTCTGTTATATCATTAAAGTTACAAGAAAAACTATTGATTCTTTTTTGTTTCCTTTGTGAGTATCGTACGTTGTTCTTTTACGTTTCTTCACTTAAGACCATTTTCTTTTAATTCAAGCCGCTTAATTCGTCTTTCATACTCAATTATACTGAAACACTTTTTTTCATTACGGCTTCTGACAATTGGGATTTGGAACAACGAGAATTAGAAATGATTAAAACACACACACACGAAACTATAAAAAAAAACAAAAGAAACACTTACTTATTACTAACACATTTTATGTATGTGTCAACACACAAGCCTTAAGCAAACAAATGAGATTAGTTTCTAACATTCATATAGTTTAACATCCATCTTAACACGGAAATACTTAGCCCCTTGAAATATATCCGTCACGAACGTAGCGATCCCACGAGCCATGAAGAAATCACCGGTCCCACCGACCACCGATAGATCTCTTGTCGGCTCCATCATCAAATCCGCACCCATTATGTTCAATGTTCCTTTGTGTTGCGTCGAGTTAAACACCAAGGTGTAGCAAAACCACGCATTGAAGTCCATCTTCATGTCATAGAAATAAAATCCTTGTGCGCGAGCTACGGGCTCTGAGAGATAGTTCTTGTCCATTGTTATGGGGCCATCAAAGATCACAAACTTACCGAACTTGAAGTTTCCTAATCCTGGAGGGCTCACGATAGCGGCTGAAGTTGCGTTTGCTACATTGTCACCATCGTAGAGGATGTCATGAAAGTAAAAGGAGAAATGTTTGCAAGGTTTCCTCTGATCAAATGTTTTTCTGGACGAAAAAACAGTATCGGAAAAGAGTAGAACTAACAGGAAGAATGTGAAGAGGGACTTGAGGAGTTGTTTCTCTACAAGAGATGACATGGTTAGCTAGAAGCGACTGGTGAGTTGTGTAAATTGAAGATCGCTTAAACCCCATTTATATAGAAGTATTCACTTGCTTTAGTGAATATAATTTATTTGGATAAAATGAAAGAATTTTAAGAGTTTGAGGGGATTGCTAAATGGGTTGTTGCGTACGTTTCGTCAATTAAAAATATAAATTCGAGTGAAAAGAAGGGTTTAAGATCATGGGAAGGGGTTGGTGGTAGGGCTGGGACTTATATCCGGGATCCGCTATCCGATCCGGGATCCGATCCGATCCGCTCCGAAAAACGGATATCCGGGGGGTCCAGATCCGGATCCGGATAGTGATTTCACGGATCCGGCGAATCCGGATCCGAATCCGGATAGTGAAAATTTTTAGTCCGGATATCCGGATCCGGGCCCACTAAATATTTAAAAAATATTCAAAATATAATTATATTTATAAATGTATATTATATATTTTCTATTAAATATAACTAATATTTAATTTTGTTAATAAATTCTATTATTTTAATTTAAATTTTTTTGAAAATACTAATTTTTAATAAGATAAATAAATACTGAATTTTGAATTTTTTTTTATTTTTTTTTTATTTTTTAGAATAAACCGGATCCGGATATCCGCGGGTATCCGAGTTTTAGTCCGGATATCCGGACCCCGGATATCCAGATGGCCCGAATCCGAATCCGGATAGTAATTTTTACGGATCCGCCGAATCCGGATCCGGACCGGATATCCTGAAATACCCCAGATATCCAATCCGCTCCATCCCTAGTTGGTGGTAACCAAGCAACAAGTTGATTTCATTTTGAAAGGTTTAATGATTTAATACTATTAATCCGGTTGGTGGCCTCTGTTGGATCCAACCAAAAAGCATAAAGTCGAAGGCTAATAAAACAACAAGTTGAGTATATGATGATACAGTGAACATAGTATGACACAAACAAAAGGTATTAAGCGAAAATTTAAATCTGAAAGAAATAAAAAAATCTGTCTTTAGAAATATTGCCTTAAAATTACGAAGCTCCCAATCTCACTCATGCGTGGTCCATATGGTTAAACTTAGATGACTTGTACAATAAATTACCAAACCTGCACGTTCTAGCTTTGCCTCTAAGACCATATTTATTGCAGGTCCCTTAAGTTGAATCCCTTAGCGTACGGTCCCTTAGCTTTTAACTGAAAACGCTAAGGGACGTCCCTTAAATCCCTTATATAAGGGACGTCCCTTAGCGTTTTCAGTTAAAAGCTAAGGGACTGTACGCTAAGGGACCCAGCTTAAGAGACATGCAATAATCATGCTCTAAGGTTGTTATTAATTACCCCAACTAAATTCTATTAAGCTTTTTAATACCCAAACTTTTTCACTACCCAGTTTAAAATCTCAACTAATTATTCTGCCCACTTTAATACATCAACTTTTATAACTTTATCCATTTTAATATTCAAACTTTGTTTATTTTAATTAACAATACTAATAAATTTCCAATGAAATTTTAAAAATGTCTAAACTTCACAAAAAAAATTAATTTTATTATATGTTTGAGTAACGAAATTAAATAAATTTTTTATAATCTTTAGTTTTGTAATAAGTTTTTTTTTTAAGTTTTATATATTGAATTTAGTTTGTTTTTTGAAATAAAAAGTTAATTATTTTTTTTTCCTTCAAAAACTTTTTTTTAAAACATTAAATTTTCTACAGAGTTTGTTTACCTTATTTCTTAAATCTTCAAATAAACTTAGAAAATTTAAATATTTTTTCTTAGATTTTGGAGATTTTTTAAAATTTCGTTTGAAATTTATTAGTATTGTTAATTAAAATAAACAAAGTTTGAGTATTAAAATAGATACAGTTATAAAAGTTAAGAATAATTAAAATGGGCAAAATAATTAGTTGAGGTATTAAACTGGGTAATGAAAAAGTTTGGGTATTAAAAAGCTTAATAGAATTTAGTTGGAGTATTTATATGGAATTTTCCCTTTTTTATTCTTCGTTGTGGAAGTTTGACATTTTCCAAAAATATTTATAGTTTTGAAGTATCTTAAAGCCTAACATTAAAATCACGACTAAAAACTTGGACTGCTAACAGAGAAAGGATCAGGTTTTTTTTTTGTATATGTAACGTATTTTATATGATTATTGTATTTGAAATTAAATGAATGATACATGGCCATGCTGATGGAGAGCAATTATTCACTCTCTCGTTTTACTTTCGGTGTAAGACTAGCATTATAATATAGAAGAAACATTCGAGAAACTTCATAATTTGTTAAGATGTCCTATTTTCCCCTATTTATTTTAAGACTAGTATAAGTCAATAATATTTGTCACTAACTCTTTCCTAACACATGAATTAAAAGCACAAAGGCATAATGTCAAACCAGAGAAATTTTTTTTTCTTCTTTTAAACAGTTCAATGGGGTTTAGTTGCCTAACTCCTCGTTTGTCCCTTACTGATTTCAAGGCTTTAGGTTAATGAAAAACAACTTGTGATAACATAAGAAACTTCACAACGATCTTACCTACAATTTTTTTGTTATATTGATTTTAGACCATGAAGCGGAGGCTACTAAGACAAAGGAGTGAAATCTGAGCCAATGCTTTGTAACAATTCCTTTGAAGATGGTAAAGTAAAACAAAATTGTATACGAACCAATTAACCAAACTGTCGTGTCTATAACTTGGAAGTAGAGTAATAGTGTTGGTTTTACTTTGATTCATATCAAACAAAAAAAAATGTGCAGAGCTACAAGTTTTCATTAAGTAAGGACTGTACAAAGTTCATGGTTCATCAATCATCAATCAAACTTTCCTAACGAAAATACGAACAGTGACCCGATTAAGTAGCGACGTAATCAATCCTAATCATGGTCGAATGGTCAAAACGATTTGACGACTATGAAAATCATCAATTTGTTAGGGTGCCATAATTTCTATCAAAATTATACTCCCTCAGTTTCCGCATCAGTCACTTACAGCAAGAGTATTTCAAAAAACTTACTATATAAAAATAGAAACAACAGTTCTTTAAAAAGAGACTCGCCATATTTTGAAAAACTCATCTAAAGGAAGTCTACTGAATCAATGATTTGAAATCCAAGATTATTGGATTAGTCATTTGTATAAGTTCTCTCAAATTATACTTTATTGGAAAATACATATTCTGTTAATAAAACCTTTCTAATGAGATTTAGTTGTGTGTGAATGATATTTTATAGTGAAAAATAATGATGGTATTTCAAAAGAATTTTAAAGAAATAAAAAATTACTTCAAATTTTTAAAAAGAAAATGAAACTATTTGAAACGAAAAAAACGATTATTTGAAGATTGATTTAGAAAAAAATTATATTTATATATTTAACAAAACGACAAAAAATCAACTTGTAGTCATTTAAAAAATATATAATTTTAAAGAAATATTTAGAAAATTTCAAAAAATTTCAAAAGCTCTGAAATTTCTTCAAAAAATCTTAAAACTAGTAATTTTTTATAAAAAAATCACTCAAATCTCAGCTTTTATTGTATTTACTCAAATATTGAATTCTCTCATATTTTTGATCTAATAGCCCCCTAGTGTCCTTCTTTAAATGACATAATAATTTTTTAATCATCTAACTGTTTTATCTTAATATTAATATATTTATACTGAGAGACTCGGATAAATAAACTTATTACTAAAGTCTAAAGATGCTCTTACCGAATTACAGCATGAATTGGTGACCACATTAAAAAAAAAAATCCATATGAAGTTAGTGCCTAAAATGCAACTAACCATTGACTAATAATGGGATTTATAATCATACTTCCTTTTTGTTAATTTAATTTAATTCAAACATTACTGAGACCTACCCATATAGAAATCAAATGCTCTTTCTTTTCTTAAACATACAGAAATCATATATTCAAATTTTTATCTACAACATGAAACATATGTTATTATACAAAAGCCAATATTTTGACCTTTCGAGTCTTGGAATCCCAAAGAGAAACTTCGCTAAGGACTCTCTGTCCCCTCAATCAACGACTCTTCCTTCGTGACGTTCTTCAAAACTCCCACGACCGGAGAATCACATCTCGCTACGTACTGTTGCACCACCAACACCGAGGCCACCGTCGAAACACTTTCGCTTGACGTTAACAAGTTCCCGACCGGACCAAGCTCCGGCGTGTCACTTCTTACCACGTTTAGTCCCGACACAACTGAACCATCCGGTGACTTCCCCACCAAGAAAAGATTACTTCTTGAATATTCTTTAATAGCCTCACATACTTCTTCATGGCATTTCACGATTCTTTCTTGGTAAACGATCTTAGATTCAGAATCCGAATCAGAACGAGAGGTTTCTTGTTCTTTGATCTTCGCTTTAAGTTCGGTTATAGCTTCTATATCACTCAACCTAGTCTCCCCTGAACACGAACCGGCTTGATCCTCGGTTATCTCTAGCTTCACACTTTCCGGTTTAAACTCCTCACTAGGAATAAACCGAACAACGGTTAACGTTATACCAGGATGTTCCGCCATACGAACCGCAAACGCCAACGCCTCGCGATCATCATTCCCTCCAAAAAACAAAACCGTTATAGCCAACGAGAAATCGCTAGACGCGACACGTGTCGTACCACCGAGACCACGATCAACAAGAATCGCGACAGAACATGTCGCTTCATCCATAACCTTCTTGTTAATCCAACGGTACTCGTTCCTAGTCGTCTCCCACGTCCTGTCCAACCTAACGTGCTTGTGAAACGGAAGAATCACCATAGCGACGCGTTTGCGTTCAGCGCTTCGACATATGTCCTCATGTATAGTCGATATCGCCGAGATCGCCGTCATTGGACGGACAGAGACACGGCTGAGTCTCCTAAAAGCCTCGAATGCGACCACCACCATGTCGGAAGACCCGGTTCCGGTTTTGTCTTTGTTCCAGAAAGGGAGACCGTTTTTTCTGACCTTGTGGGCCATTAGTATAGCTGATGATCTCTCGGAGAGTTCCATTAGATGCATCGCGTA